GTCTGCGATTTTTTTTCAAGAGAGGAAACCAGTTAAACTCGGATGAATATTGCTTGCATTTTTCTGCAAGCTTTGGAAATATTTTAGCGAGTATAGAAAGTCATATTTTTTGTGTGACAAATTATAAATACTGGGGCACTTTAAATTAAACGAAGCATTTATTTTAGCTTTGAAGTTGAAATGAATGAACCGTGTTTTGATGCGGAGGACTATTTTTTCATGAGGCTATAGAGGTGTTTTGCGTGGAAATAACTGGATAATAAAACGAGCTGGATCATTCATCGACGAATATTTTTGTCTAGATTTTTTTTTCTATTTCCGGTTGCCCTTCAATGCTTTGTAAAGCTTCAATTTAGAAAAAAGTTTTGGGGATGAACAGAGGACATTTTTCAAATATGTAAACTTATTGATTTGTACAAGTTATATAGGAAACAATCGAGATTCCCGAACGGAAGAAATATTTTTGACATATTTTATTAGGAATGATGTGCAGGACATTATCACACGTGCTCATATCTTTCAAGATTCAATAGATTGAATTCGGATCATGAAAGTGTTTCAGAGGTAAGGATAATTTTTTGTGGAAATTTTGTGAAAAATCCTCGGCGAAGTGCGAACTCATTTGTTTTTAGGACTTCAATTTGACAGCGACTTTCATCTTGATTATACAAAGAAACCATTTTTTCTGAGCTTTGAATGTGATGGAAATTATACGAGCTTTGGATTTTTTCGAAAATTTTTACACACGACGAAGTCTTGAAAATATTTGTCTCCGTTTGTATGGCATGATGATCAGTTGCTATGAAGAGACAGATGAGCGACTCTAGCGACACCTTTGTGACGTTTTAATAAACTGAAAACAAGCGATATTATGGAATGAACTAGATTTAACTGCTGTTTCGAGAATCCATTTTTAGCAGACAGCATCAGAGCTTTATACAGCTTGTATTCATGGGACGATTCGACTTTTGAACACGGAAACGCTAAAAAAAAAACACACATCCTCAACATTCGGACTATGCCTCAAAATATGGACACTTTTCCAAAATTTCTAGAAGAATTCAAAATATTCTCAATTTTGATCATCTTCCGCGCGAAGTGAGCTATTTATACATTCACAAAATTGAAAATAAAATTATGAATTACTTCAATTCATAATCAAGAAACTGGATGATTTTGTGTGTTTTTATTTTTTGTATTATTTGTGCACAGCATAGCAAGACTTATCTAGTTTTTTGCTTTTCAATCTCCTTTTGCTGCCATCAAAAGATCAGATTCTATGTGGTTTTCTTTTGCGCAGTTTTTTTTGTATTGTGAAGTTGAAGGAAACAATTTTTATTCAATTTTTGCGGGACTTATCCCTAATTTTTCATGAACAGGAAAACCAATATTAAATGTGTTTGCGGGAAAGTCTACGACGAGAAAATATAATCTGAGACTCAGACAATCCAACACAGGGGCAATTAAGTTTCAAGTACCAATTACTGTATTTGTGCATCTCGGGATCCCACTGCATCTCATCAGTCTCATGTTTATTCATCCTCTATTCAACAGGAGTACAGAAGACTTCCTATATTTACTTGACAGCAGGTCTCGCAGTACTTCTTTCTTAAGGAATACTTACGCATGTGTCACGGTACGTGTTTTGCTGCTGCTGCTGCTGCTGCTGGCGACAACATGACAAACCAGAAAAGGATCATGTGTGCTCCAGAACAACAACACCAACAACAGAAAAGCTCATCGCGTTGAGCTGAATAAAGGAGAGAGGTTGTTATTCGCTTTTCATGCGGCGAGAGACACCTGGCGGCCGGTCGCGGAAAACGGCGGACTTGCACGTGGCCATCAGCGCGCGCAATCGAAGTTCTCGTCTTTTTAAAAGCTGTATATAGATGACTGGAGGACATCAGAGGAGAAATTTCAATATTTAATAGCATCTGACCGAATTTTCTGTAAACCTTATACAACTTCAGGACCAGCTTTGTGGAAGAAAATAATGCCGTACGTGCAAATGCAATTAGAAAAATTGAGCAAAATTAAAGGGCTCGACACGAGGTTTTGGGTGACATGATGAAAATTACGTGGAGACTTTTTTTTAATCGTTAGGCCAAAAGATACAATATTTGCCAAACATTTTGTGGAATTTCTCCACATTTTAAATGGCAGGTCTTTTATTTCTGAACAACTGTTCCCATACCCTTTTGTAAACCGCACTTTTGAACCCATCAGCCGTTCACCTGACACGATTAAACCAGAGAAGCGGAATATCGTAGGCGTGTAATTTGAGGTTCAAAAAGATTGCGAGGATATAATTACGAGGGATTTTTCGGCCCTTGACATCTCAAATGCTCGAGGTTTGATGCATTCGTATACCGTGAATATTTTCTCTGAATTTTGAAATTAGTTACTGTGGTTTTCCACCGGGTGTTTACCATAAGGGCATAAGCTTTTAATTTCCTCGCAGGTCAATTAGGTTTTAAATATCAAGGTTATTGCTGAAGTTAATTGTAGACGAGCGGGATTATTGGTCATCAGAAAGAACAAGGCTCTTCTTGATTTTATCGATGATCAGGTTAATTGATTCAGCAGAAGATATTTGAACGATACTCCATTACAAAGCCAGGTTGCATCACTTCAATTTCTAGAAATTTGAATGTAGTTTTCACGAATCCCCCAGAAAGCTAAAGTTTTTTTCTTGGCACGAAAATAGAACGCCGAAATTATTGCATTCGACCATGAACGAATATTCTAATTAGCATCTCTATATTTTAGTAAAATAATGAGTAAAAAATATTCCCTTTGTATAGAAGTGCCAAAAAGCTTGACCAAAAGAAAGAAATATTTTAGAAATCGAAATCCTGGGTGAAAATGTTCTCACCATCGCTCACCGAAAAGCGCTCAGAAATCAGTGCGTGTTGGCGTCTCACGCGCCTGAAATGCGAGTGGTGTTTTTCCTCTCGCTGTTCTATTTTTTTTTATTTTTATAAATCTTTTTTTTTTTCATTCCCCGAAAATTTGTTTCGCCTTTTTGTTACTTTTCGAATCCCCGAGCTCACTTTTCGTTCGCGTCTCTGCGTGTGTTGGCGCAACGAAATCCGAGTAGTGCAAGTATATACTTCTTTGTTTGTGTCGGCAGGAACACCATCATAGAATTTGTTCCACTCCGAAGTTCGTTTCCCTCGTTCTTCCGATAAAAACGAGAAAAAAATAAAGTCTGCGATTTTTTTTCAAGAGAGGAAACCAGTTAAACTCGGATGAATATTGCTTGCATTTTTCTGCAAGCTTTGGAAATATTTTAGCGAGTATATATAGAAAGTGATATGTTTTTGTGTGTGACAAATTATAAATACTGGGTCACTTTAAATTAAACGAAGCATTTATTTTAGCTTTGAAGTTGAAATGAATGAACCGTGTTTTGATGCGGAGGACTATTTTTTTTTTTGTGAGGATAGAGGTGTTTAGAGTGGAAATAACTGAATAATAAAACGAGCTGGATCATTCATCGACGAATATTTTTGTCTAGATTTTTTTTCTATTTTCGGTTGCCCTTCAATGCTTTGTAAAGCTTCAATTTAGAAAAAAGTTTTGGGGATGAACAGAGGACATTTTTCAAATATGTAAACTTATTGATTTGTACAAGTTATATAGGAAACAATCGAGATTCCCGAACGGAAGAAATATTTTTGACATATTTTATTAGGAATGATGTGCAGGACATTATCACACGTGCTCATATCTTTCAAGATTCAATAGATTGAATTCGGATCAGGAAAGTGTTTCAGAGGTAAGGATAATTTTTTGTGGAAATTTTGTGAAAAATCCTCGGCGAAGTGCGAACTCATTTGTTTTTAGGACTTCAATTTGACTGCGACTTTCATCTTGATTATACAAAGAAACCCTTTTTCTGTGCTTTGAATGTGATGGAAATAATACGAGCTTTGGATTTTTTCGAAAATTTTTTCCCAGGACGAGGTCTTGAAAATATTTATCTCCGTTTGTATGCCATCATAATCAGTTGCTATGAAGAGACAGATGAGTGACTATAGCGACACCTTCGTGACGTTTTAATAAACTGAAAACAAGCGATATTATGGGATGAACTAGATTTAACTGCTCTTTTGAGATTCCATGTTCAGCAGACAGCATCGAAGCTTTTTATACAGCTTGTATTCATGGGACGATTCGACTTTTGAACACGGAAAAGCTAAAAAAAAAAAACATTCATCCTCACCATTCGGACTATGCCTCAAAATATGGACACTTTTCCAAAATTTCTAGAAGAATTCAAAATATTCTCAATTTTGATCATCTTCCGCGCAAAGTGAGCTATTTTTACATTCACAAAATTGAAAATACAGTACATTTCATTATGAATTTACTTCAATTCATAATCAAGAAACTGGCTGATTTTGTGTGTTTTTTATTTGTGCACAGTATAGCAAGACTAATCAAGTTTTTTTGCTTTTCAATCTCCTTTTGCTGCCATCAAAAGATCAGATTCTGTGTGGTTTTCTTCTGTGTAGTTTTTATTTTTTGCATTTTGAAGTTGAAGGAAAAAAATTTTATTCATTTTTTGGGAACTTCTCCCTAATTTTTTAAACAGAAAACCCAATTAAATGTGTTTGCGGTAAAGTCTATGACGAGAAAATATAACCTGAGATGCAGACAATCCAACACAGAGGCAATTGAGTTTCTAGTACCAATTACTGTATTTGTGCATCTCGGGATCCCACTGCATCTCATCAGTCTCATGTTTATTCATCCTCTTTTCAACAGGAGTACAGAAGACTTCCTATATTTACTCGACAGCAGGTCTCGCAGTACTTCTTTCTTAAGGAATACTTACGCATGAGTCACGGTACGTGTTTTGCTGCTGCTCCTGCTGCTGGCGACAACATGACAAACCAGAAAAGGATCATGTGTGCTCCAGAGCAACAACACCGACAACAAAAAAGCTCATCGCGTTGAGCTGAATAAAGGAGAGAGGTTGTTATTCGCTTTTCATGCGGCGAGAGACACCTGGCGGCCGGTCGCGGAAAACGGCGGACTTGCACGTGGCCATCAGCGCGCGCAATCGCGACCACGTGGCGAGTCTCGCCACGGTGTGTACACCTGCCGACGTCCGCACCCCGTTTCGCGGCATGACCGCGCTTTCCCTGGCTGTCTTCAACGCCGACTGCGAAATAGTCAAGGTGAGCAATAACTGTTGGTCTATTTCCTTTTATTCACTTGTGCACTACCATCACTTTCATTCTTGCTTTTCAATCCTTTCCGATGAAAATTTGGGAAGTTTGAGGTATTTTTGCAAATATTGTGCCAATGAGCATGGAAAATTTAATAAAACTAACTTTTAAACAAACAGGCCTATAAATTTGCAAAATGTTTAGATAGAATTCAGATGCTCTTCCAGCAGAAGAATTTGGTTGAAAAAAATACTAACCAATAGGCGGTTTTTCTTCATTTCTAGCAGCATGGGATTAACATTGGAGATTTCTCATAACAATAGGTTTTGCTCCTTGTGGATTTTTCTCAACCTGTAGACATCTGCTTTGTTGAACTTCTGTCTAAATTCCCTAACAAAAAATTCATTGAAAAAATCTTTAAATTGATGGCTTTTCTTATTCTCAAACCTCCATGACTCANACCACGTGGCGAGTCTCGCCACGGTGTGTACACCTGCCGACGTCCGCACCCCGTTTCGCGGCATGACCGCGCTTTCCCTGGCTGTCTTCAACGCCGACTGCGAAATAGTCAAGGTGAGCAATAACTGCTGGTCTATTTCCTTTTATTCACTTGTGCACTGCCCTCACTTTCATTATTGCTTTTCAATCCTTTCCGATGAAAATTTGGGAAGTTTGAGGTATTTTTGCAAATATTGTGCCAATGAGCATGGAAAATTTAATAAAACTAACTTTTGAACAAAAAGGCCTAAAAATTTGTAAAAATTTTAGATAGAATTCAGATGCTCTTCCAGCAGAAGAATTTGGTTGAAAAAAATACTACCAAAAGGCGTTTTTTCTTCATTTCTAGCAGCATATAGGATTAACATTGGAGATTTCTCAAAACAATAGGTTTTACTCCTTGTGGATTTTTCTCAACCTGTAGACATCTGCTTTGTTGAACTTCTGTCTAAATTCCCTAACAAAAAATTCATTGAAAAAATCTTTAAATTGATGGCTTTTCTTATTCTCAAACCTCCATGACTCAAATTTATTTTCAGAGGACTTTAGCCAATTATTCAATTGACACAAAAATAAAAAGCAGTAAAATGTCCATGGATGTTTTTGCAAGGAATTCAGAGACTAATTGGGCTAATGAACCCTTGCCTCCAAGTGCTGCATCTTTTCAACTCATTTGAAATATTAAGAAGGATTTTAAGGCATCTCCAATACAGTACAGTACTAATTTCCTGGGAAAGCACAACACAAATGCTTGTTTCCCCTTACTGAAAACCACTGCAACTACAACTGATGTTCTACTGGTCCCTTGAATTTCAACTTGAATAAATTCAAGCATGAACAGTATTGCAAGCAGGGTACCTTATTTGGAAATATATTCAATGTGTTGACATATGTTGAACTCTCTTAACAACAATGTTTGTCTGCAGCAATTTTCCGTTTATAACAATTTCTTTTCTTGCCCCTTATTGTCATAGGGATTATCTCCCTCAAAATTCTGTCTACAATGCATTTTTCTGGCCCCTTCAATTCTGTTGTAGCTAAATTCGATATGTACAGTATTATGTCAATACTGTATAAGCAATTCCCAGAAAAAAATTATATTCACTGCTGGGGTGCAAGAATAACCCAATGCTGCTAAGTGATGATATGGAGCGGCATCTATTTTAGAAGAACAACAACGCTGGACTGAATTTAAAAGCAGTTTCTGAGACGAGACGCTAAATGTTTGCTTGTTGAACGGCACATACAATAACTGTACTGTACACTTGTACAGTATATAAGAGTCCAGTACAAATGATTTTCATTTTCCCACCAAGTGCTAACACGACATTCGACGGTTGGCGAGCAGCTGGTGTGGCTATTGAGTTCTATTTTTACCTTCGCTCGTTTCAACCATGGCAAGGGCACACAAATTGATGAGAGTGTAGTTAACAATCCCCTAAAACTTGCGTTTGGTAAATAAATAAACTTGATTTTCTTTTTCACTGATGTCAGCTTGCTGGCTTGGATGGAGTCAGTTGGGGAATTATTGCAGGGGGAAATGAGCATTCGAATCAAGTACTGTACATTTTCTTTCCTGTCTGGAAAATTAGGGAGAAGAAGGTGATTTTGAGAAGTGGATGTAATCTGGAATGAGATTCTTCTTGGTGCAAAAGTGTGTGTGCATTTCACCAAGTTGGACACACATTTTCTTTCCAATGGAAAATCCTGCCATGCACTTGCTAACATAGTGGTGCCTCCATGATTGGTACATGATGGTACCACCAATGGTACACAAAGTCTCTTGGAGTGGTACTATATGTTACCATGATTGGCACATTTTGTTATCATGAATTGTATTTTGTTGGTAGACTTGGCACCATACTGGTACCATTTATGATGCAAGTTGGTACTACAAGTGGAGCACATATACCAGCAGATGGAAATACTGTACCACTGCATCCTAATTTTTGGTGTGGTTCCTGGCAATTATACAGTTGAACCACAAAAATTCAAACCTCCCAAGTCAAATACTGCCCAAAGTTGAATTTTTTCAAAGTCCCCATACTAATTCCCTAAGAAACAATGCCTCAAAAGCCTTTTTTATCTCTGATGCTTTCCCCTTAAAAACCTCCATAAATTGAACTTTATAATGGAGGCCTTCTGGCTATTATTTTATTTACACAGAAAGGAGAACAGGAATGAAATGTGTAACTTGATTTTTTTTGCAAGTAAGCAAAAGACTAATTGGGAAAATGAACCATTGGCTCAAAACTCAGCATCCTGTCAACTCATTCAAGAGGCAATTTAAGGTCCACAACATCAGCATTCAGAATTTCCTGCAGTTCTTCTATCTTTCCCATAGCAGCCAATATTCTGTTTTTTTCTCAATTAAGCTGGTAATCTGCTGAACTGGATTTTTTTTTTTTTNGATCTTTTTTGCAAGTAAGCAAAAGACTAATTGGGAAAATGAACCATTGGCTCAAAACTCAGCATCCTGTCAACTCATTCAAGAGGCAATTTAAGGTCCACAACATCAGCATTCAGAATTTCCTGCAGTTCTTCTATCTTTCCCATAGCAGCCAATATTCTGTTTTTTTCTCAATTAAGCTGGTAATCTGCTGAACTGGATTTTTTTTTTTTTGCTGGTTCCTTGAAATTCAACTTAGATGAGAGGCTTGTCTGCTCATCTGTAAACAGGTGCTGATAGATGCTGGCCATGCAGACGTGAATCAACGGAGCAAGGACCGGAATGAGCGGTTTGAGTCACCTTTGTTCAGTGCCTGTCGCCTGGGCTATGGCGACATTGCCAAGATCCTCATCAAGTCTGGGGCGGACGTGAACCAACGCGACTTCTACGACCATTCGCCATTGTGGGTCGCCGCTGTCGAGCGGCGCCTGGACCTGGTCAAGCTCCTGATCCGCAGTGCCCGGTCCCACCTGTAACGGTCCCGGACCTTGCTCACAGGGCAGATGGACCACCGGGTGATAAACGTGATGTGACCGTCCACACATATAAGTCTTAAGAACATCACCTTACGGTGAATGAGACTTTAATTTTTTTATGACTTTTCAGTAGATGACTGATGGAAAACAAATATGACTTTCTATAGTGGTGTAGAAAATATCCAAAGGTATTTTTAGGAAAACCTCTAGAAATATTTTAAATATGTTTTTCTTGCTCAAACATTTCTCTTTTATTGAAATTGTTATGCAGTTGTAAAAGCACAATCAAAAAAGCAGTATGGGTGGTAACTTGCAATTTGACCTCCTGCATAATTTGTAAATATTGCAATTTAATGGTCAGGGAGGTTGAGTTGCAATTCAACCTGCTCCAGTCTCTTTTCTAGTGTTTTTTTTTTTTACTGCGGACGCCTATAATTTTGCACACTGCCTTGCAGTTCAACTACAGTATTTTGCAATTTCACCCCAGTCCAGCAATAGATTAGGGTTGAATTACAGGGCACCATAACCTGTACTTTGATTTTAAAACAGTGGTACCTCATAGTACAAACACCTTGTTGGATGAATATTCTGTGCAACAAATACTTTTTTTACTGCAAATCTTTACGCTATACTATGAGCAAATTTCTTAATGAAAACAACTTTTCCAAAAATCAAAAATGTTTTGCAAAATCAAGATAAACCCAATTTTTAAAATCAGTTTGATCTCAATTTTTGAGAAGAAGTGGGTTGTAGGCTTAATGCATTGTATCTAAGTGGCTTATGTTCATGATACTGTATATTTAAAATATGCCTAATTGACAAAAGAAGCATGGAAAAGAATTATCATTTCAGCGCGCAAAAAAAAAAAAAACTGGTAAATCAGCAGAGGTTCATATGTACTGTATCATTTTTTTGCTTAAATGCCTGCAGGCGACACATTTTGGAATACCTAGTGGCGAGTGGGGCTAGTCCAGACCTGCGGGATGAATTGGGTCGTAATGCCCTTTTCTGGAGCTTGAAGAACAAGGACCTGAAGGCCTTTAGGTTCCTGGTAGAAGCCGGGGCCCGACTGAACCCCAATTGGGACTGGCTCCAGTCCAACAGGTTGCCGAAAGCACTTGATCTCAAGTCGACTCGAGATGGAACGGAGTTTCTTCACTGGTTGCACCTGGAAACCACTCAGCCCAGGCCCTTGCTGAGACAGGCTCGAACAGTAATTCGCAGGTAAATTAATCGATGGAAATTAACGAAAAATTCCGAAGTCATTTAATGAAAATTTAAAAAGAGGGGAAAAGAAACGCAATGACGGGTTGTGGGGACTTTTTCGTATAGTTTTTGAGTATACAGTACTCAATTCCTGGGTTTAATATGGGAGACGCAGCTAACTGTAAAAAATACAGTTATTCATCATTTTTGTGTTAATTTAGGCATTTTTTCGAATTTTTCTGATATTTCAGAAACTTCCATCACCGTTCATCAACGCCTTTGATTGCTGCTAGGGGAGGAAGAAAACTATAAAAATGCCTGGCAACCCTGAGTTATTTTCAAAACTCATAAAATGAGAAGCAAGTACTGTATGCGTTGTCTCAGTCTATCTAACACAATTAGTTTTCTATTTTTAAAAAAAGCGAAAAAACCCATGACGATATAAGGAATATCTGATAACATTTATGTGAATTGATATCAGATACAAGTTTTGAATCGGAGTTCCAACGCTTTTTATGACCACCAAAAACACAACGTTATAAGGAACGTAATTAAACTTTATCCGCCTCAGAAAGTGATTAAAACAGACACCGACTGACCTCAGATCTAATGACTGTCCAGAAAAAACGCTTATACATCCGTAAAAACACACTCGATTTACCCCATACCCTGAAATAAGTGAAAAAACTTTAATTAGTTTGCTTTGCGTTCAAAGTTTTTTTTTCTGTTTTTGTTTCAGTGCTCATGGATCAACACAAACTCGTCACTTGTCCCGTATCTTTTATATACGAAAAAAAGAATGTCGTCGAATTTCTGACTAATTGGAAACACATTATCGACTCTCCTTCGTGGTTCAACGCATTATTGGACCAATAATCTTATTAAGATAATGAAGTTTAAAACTGCCTTTTCAGCTGATGACTAAAAAACAGGAAAAAAAGGACTTTGTAGGAGGCGTGTTTTATATCGATTTTCAGGAAGAATTCGAAGAATATTATAAATAAATTTTCTAACCTGAAAGTTCCTCTTTTATTTAAATTATTCATGTAGTCATAAAAAAGCTAGAGAAATACAGATAGCCCAGCAAATAATTTGCGTTTTGAAATGCGTTTTAAACGTGTTTCTAGCCAAAAATGCTATACATTTTGTACCTCTCTATGTTGTACCTCTCTTGCCTACTCGGGATTGTATTTACTGCGTATCTTATAGGCATTTTGAAATGACTTCTAGTTACAGCTATTTTTTGTCTTCTGGGATCAGGTGTATAACTTGAGTTATGCCTGGATAGGATTCATTACAATACTGAAACGCGTTAGATACACATTTTAAAACCCAAAAATTGTTACATTTGTTTTTTTTACAATTTTGCCAATTTTTTACAATTTGTTGCCATACTTTTGTTGATTGTTGTGAGGTTTTGTCCTGTAAGTTTTCGATATTGTTGCTGATTTTTTACATCTTGTTGCCATTAGTTTAGTGATTGTTGTGAGGTTTTGTCCTGTATGTTTTTAATATTGTCGCCGATTTTTTAGGTCTTGTTGCCATGAGTTCAGTGAAACCGTGCAGCAATACCTGTAACAAATTATTTGCTGGGAGGTTTTGATTTCAATACATGGGGTATCCCATGGAACAACAACCTGCTGCTTGTGGAAAATGAATGCTGTTCTAAACAAGAAACATTTGTACTGCAAATTTTCACTGTCTTAATAACATGAATAAAATGTGTAGCATGAACAAGTTTTCAAAAATATAGAGCCTTCCAGAAAAATTCAAGATGAAGCCACATTTTCAGAAGCAGTTTTCATCTGAATTTTATGAGTAAGTGTGGATTGCAGATTTGAAGCATTGCATCTAATGGGCTTATGATCAAAAAGTACTCAAAAAAAGGCTTTAGAGAAGTAATGGAAATTTCTAAATTTGCAATTTTACATTTTTGGTATTTTTGGAATGAATGAAATGATTTCCCACAGAAGTCAGTGGGAAATCATGATCATCATGATGAAAAAAGCATACAATGAACATAGTGGTTGTACTCGTACCACATGCATTTGTTGTACAGATGGGACCTCAAAATTTGATCTCTTGCAATTTTACCATCCTGCAATTTGACATTTGAATTTGTCTGGATTTTGACTTGCAATTCATCCTCTGCCCCACAATTCAGCTTTCAGAGTGAAACAAAAATGTCAAATGTTATATATAGAAAACTTTGCAGTTGACATTGTCTCACAATACCACTTCACAATTTGACCCTTGCCCAGCAGCGACATATTAGAGTGAAATTGTGGATTACCACTTGAACAAAGTACCATTTGCTGTAAGAAGATACTGTATTTTCAAATACTGCTGTCATTATTTCATGGACAGTTAATTCTGCATCATCCAAGATCATGAAAGATGCATCAATGTTACCCTTTTATAACGATTGGGGATGACAACTTCAATATTTTTTTTTTCAAGGTGTTTATCTGGAGACGGATCTTCGATTGCAAAAAGAACAAAGCAGCTGCCTTTACCTGACACTCTGAAGCGATATTTGCTGCTGAATGAAAAGTCTGCTTTGGCAGACGCGGATCTCGGCCACGAAAAGCCGGAAATCGTCTGCATCTTGGGACCGGAACCCCGATCTTTGGACCCTCTGGTGCTTTAAACCCAGCACCGTGGCGTTTCTCTTGAAAAAAACAAAGAGACTTATTCTCTCCCTTTTTTGCACTCATGCTTTGAACGAAGAAACAAAAATGCGTGCTTTTCTGCTTGAAAAAAAAAGAAACAAGCTTCTCTGCAGAGTTCCGTGTCTCTTTTCAGGAACAAGTGGGCACAGTTGAGACGGGGCGTCGGTAAAGTTGTGATACATTTCGTGCGGAGGGAGATATTTTGTTTTCTCTTCGTTTCGAGTCCTCGAAATTCGTGGTGCAACTTTTTTGAGGGGAGCAAATGCAGTTCACGACAGAGTATGAAAAAGCCGTAGACTTTTATTCACCCCAAGAAAATAATAATGAGCCACACACAACGCAGCACATTTGCTAATTCGAAGGCGTCCGTCAAAAATCCAAATATGTCCAGCGCAAAAAAATTTCAAGATATTATTTCGAATTGCGGTTGGATCATAACGGGATTTCTTCCTTCAAAGTATCTATCATTAAATTTGAGCGGTTTTCAAAATTGCTCAGTCAGAAACGATGATGACGTATCATCAAAATTAATTGCGATCATTTTCCAATTTTTGTTCATCATTTTTAAATAATCCAGATTTGTTTCAGCCTTTTCTTTTTATTCAAGACCTAGAATACTGAATTTCAAGTTAATTCATCTGGAGGTAATTGCGTCTTCTGTATGTTATTGTAATTTCAGTATTCATGCATATGGTGATAATATTTATATTTGTAATATTATTCATTTTTAATGCAGTGAAAGCCCAGCAGTTAAAATGCTTGATTCTCTCAGCCTTTATTTCGAATAAAAATTATTTTACTGGTATTGTAGTCCAGGCAATATCATTTGTGCAGGATCGCTAATCTCTCTGAATGAATGAATGAATAAAACACTTTGTTTGCCGCTTTTCAGCATTCACAAGGCACAACCAAGACTCCCGCATCCAAACCCCTCCCCACCCAACCCAACTTGTGGTCGGTGTATACGCGGAATTTC